CGTTCGTTCGTTCGTTCGTTCGTTCGTTCGTTCGTTCGTTCGTTCGTTCGTTCGTTCGTTCGTTCGTTCGTTCGTTCGTTCGTTCGTTCGTTCGTTCGTTCGTTCGTTCGTTCGTTCGTTCGTTCGTTCGTTCGTTCGTTCGTTCGTTCGTTCGTTCGTTCGTTCGTTCGTTCGTTCGTTCGTTCGTTCGTTCGTTCGTTCGTTCGTTCGTTCGTTCGTTCGTTCGTTCGTTCGTTCGTTCGTTCGTTCGTTCGTTCGTTCGTTCGTTCGTTCGTTCGTTCGTTCGTTCGTTCGTTCGTTCGTTCGTTCGTTCGTTCGTTCGTTCGTTCGTTCGTTCGTTCGTTCGTTCGTTCGTTCGTTCGTTCGTTCGTTCGTTCGTTCGTTCGTTCGTTCGTTCGTTCGTTCGTTCGTTCGTTCGTTCGTTCGTTCGTTCGTTCGTTCGTTCGTTCGTTCGTTCGTTCGTTCGTTCGTTCGTTCGTTCGTTCGTTCGTTCGTTCGTTCGTTCGTTCGTTCGTTCGTTCGTTCGTTCGTTCGTTCGTTCGTTCGTTCGTTCGTTCGTTCGTTCGTTCGTTCGTTCGTTCGTTCGTTCGTTCGTTCGTTCGTTCGTTCGTTCGTTCGTTCGTTCGTTCGTTCGTTCGTTCGTTCGTTCGTTCGTTCGTTCGTTCGTTCGTTCGTTCGTTCGTTCGTTCGTTCGTTCGTTCGTTCGTTCGTTCGTTCGTTCGTTCGTTCGTTCGTTCGTTCGTTCGTTCGTTCGTTCGTTCGTTCGTTCGTTCGTTCGTTCGTTCGTTCGTTCGTTCGTTCGTTCGTTCGTTCGTTCGTTCGTTCGTTCGTTCGTTCGTTCGTTCGTTCGTTCGTTCGTTCGTTCGTTCGTTCGTTCGTTCGTTCGTTCGTTCGTTCGTTCGTTCGTTCGTTCGTTCGTTCGTTCGTTCGTTCGTTCGTTCGTTCGTTCGTTCGTTCGTTCGTTCGTTCGTTCGTTCGTTCGTTCGTTCGTTCGTTTATCACTCGACGTACTAGAGCGCTCGAAGGATAGTACGTAGTAAGGAATAAGAGCGATGCCGCGTGTCACGCGATTCTCTCGTCGCAGGGCCGTCAACTTCTCTCAACGTTTAGCCGTACTTACATAGCTTCGTTAAATGCACGCACGCATGCATATATCCCATACGATAAATGTTATTAATGTCCTATCGCTTCGAAATAGCTGTCGAACTAAGAACTACGAATATCAAAGAAGCTTAGTTTGATAAAATAACGTTAAATTGATAAAAAAAGAAAAAAAGAAAAAGGAATAAAAGAAGAGAAATAAAAGGTAATAGAGAAAAATAACGTTTAAAAGATATCGATAGGAAGCCATTTCATGGTGACAGTGACTTTTATACTTTCAAATTATAGAAAATTTGCGTTTCAATTACATAGATTAATCGGTACTTTCTATCTTCGGAAAGGTAAATCTTTATTCCGTATTCATTTTCAACGACGAAGATTTACGACCTATTACGTTAATTATCGAGCAAAGCACTTTTTTCCTACGAGAAAATCGATGCGCGTGTCGTCGATCGTCTGAACGTTAAATGCAAACTGCAAAACTCATACGGGGAACGAACATATTCACGGTACTTCGTAGCCGAAGGTCAACCGTTAGACTCGCTCTTTACCTCGGGGATAGTCTTTCGAGGTCCAAATGAAATCGATGCCATACGTCTTTCTCGCCCGAAGGCATAATCAAGCGCTCGCGCATTAGTGACCGTGTAACGGCAGAACGATCGGACAGACTGACGGGTAAGCAAGCAAGCAAATGAACGAAAGAACGAACGAACGAATCAACAGGCAAGAGACGCAGTTCGAAATTAATTTTCTACCTGATATATATTGCAATCGTATCGAAAGAAGAATATAAAAAACGACAAAAAATAAATATAAAAAAAACAAAAAAGTAAAAATCAAGAAGAAAAAGAAACGTAAGAAGTATACAATGCCTTTAACGTGAACTGTCGACGATTTATAAATCTATCCAATACGGTTTTAAAATCCTTTCGATTAACATTCATCGAGCAATACTGCCGCTAATGTGCGACGATGTTCGTCTCGGAGAACTACAGATCGTTCGCGCTAATATATCGATCGAAAAGAAAAAGCCGGTGGAGAAACTTCGAAAAACGCGACTATAAAGGACTACGAATCAAGGACATAAATTCAATTTTTTTTCAGCTGCGATCAAACCTGGTTTAAAATGTGTCATTTGACTAATTACTAACGAAATTTCAAACGGAAAATTGAAAGATCATCGAATGTCTGAATCATAAAACACTATTTAGCGATTGAAAGAACATAAGTTGGATTCTTTCGTCGGTTAGTTAGGCTTTCATAAATTTATGATATTATCGAAAGTTATATTCAAGGTAAACTCATCGTTCCGTAACATCGATAAACGTTTTGCTCTCTCTCACTCTCTCTCTTTCTCTCTTTCTCTCTTTCTCTCTCTCTCTCCTTCTCTCTCTCTCTCCTTCTCTCTCTCTCTCTCTCCCTCCCTCTCTCTCTCTCTCTCTCTCTCTCTCTGTCTACCTTTACGTTCCATCAAGCCCACCCTATCCCAATGCACTCTCACGAATGCACTTTCTCTCTCCCACTCCTTCTCTATCTTTTTCTTTGCGCGATAGTAGCGAACGGCATACCGAAGAAGATAGCCCCTGCTCGAGCCAGAACGAGCCAGACTGAGAACGGTGGAACTATCAATAAGTTTGTATCTGACAAGGGAAGGAATCGGAAAGGGTCTTAGATCAGCGAAGACCATAAAGCCACCCACGGTGAACAATATTTTAGTACGGTAGCAATGCGCGAAACCGGCTCCAACTCTTTCAAAGCTTGGTGGAGGTAGTACGCGATCGAGCGAGAAGAGAGCGCGCGTCCTCCGAGTGAACAAGCAACAAACTTGACTCCAGCATCCAACGACGATGGCTATGCTCCAGAGTCGACCACCGCCTCTCCAATTATCAGATCGACTGTGCATTTTAGAGAACGATATAACGATAAATACGCATTTTCCAAATATTTTACGCTTAGTCCATATTCCCTATTTCTCCCTCCTTCTCTCATTATTTTTCTCTTTCTTCAGAAATTTCTCTCTTACCCACACTTTTGCATATTTCTTATCATTATCAGATATAATCTATTCCAATTATTCAACAACCAGGATTGTAACGTTACGCGTGTTACGTTATCTCCTTCTTCTCAAACGTACTATTCGTGTAGCACATTTTATATCTTTCTCCCGTTGGTACGATATTAAGTCGTTCGAAAGAGACCTAATCTTGGAACACAATAAATATGCTTTCTCTACTTCGTCCCTGTCTTTCTTTTGGACATAACGAATGTACGGTATATCCGATAAGTCCACTATACGTAGACATACTTTTGTACATATACATATATATATATATATATATATATAATATATACATACGTATGTATATACTATAGATATATTTATCGAAGAACGGGGGTTGGAGTTCTAAGCGCGTTCGACGAACCGGCCAGTCTGTAACTCATGCCGTCTTGACGTATAGGTATTGTCCGCTGCAGTCCAGAAGTCCAGAACTACGAGCTACTACCTTCCTTCGCGAGTTCCGTTGCCGCTATCGTGACCAATTGCTCGTAGATAGAACATACTTCGAAGTAGAAGAGAAGAGGAAAAGGAAAAGAAAAAGAAAAAGAAGTAGGAAGAAAAGGACGAACGGTTCGCCTGATGGTGATCGCTAGTGCCCTACTGCCTATTGCTAGTTCGCTTACTGCTACAGCATGCGTTTGTGCCTGACACAATGGGATTTGAATTTCTTTTATGAATACTAGGCGCAAGAACTAACTCCCGATATAAAGCCGACAAATCGTTTTCGCATTGTGCGAAATTCTAGTTGATTCGTTTCATCGTTCTATTCGTGTTGAAAAACATGATTTCCTCATTGAGAGGATTACATGATAAAAGTAACGCCATATAAAAAGCTTTTCTTGTTCGTCGAGAATTGTATTCTTGAACTATAAAAAGGTAAAAAGAGGAGGAGGAGAGAGAGAGAGAGAAAGAGAGAGAGAGAGAGAGAGAGAGAGAGAGAGAGTTAAAACCACTAAAGCAATTCATTCTTTAACAATAATTCTCAAAGAGATTCACTTTTGATTCAATCTTTACACCAGAAGCCACGATATACGATACGCTACCGTGTGTATCGGCAATAGATTAAAGCAATTTAAGTCGACAAATAGTGGCAAACTTATGGAATCGTTAAGCAATTTAACATCGTTACATACGTTCAGTAGTTTCCGACGATAGCCGATCTTACCTTCTATCCCTTTTTGCGGGATAAAATAGTTTTTACTTTTTTCCTTCATTCCTCCTTTCTTTCCTTCTTTTTTCGTTCTCCTTGTCGAATATAATTACCCGACTGGACGGGTTTCGGTATGGCGGAGAGATTAATTCGATTTAGATCTGGGATAGCTCCAAGGTCGCGGACGTTTAATCATTCCACCTCAGAACTCGATCGTTACCCACCTGTTTGTCCGACCGCTTCTTATAATTCTTATTAATCTTCTTCTTTTTTTATTTCCTTCGTCTTTGCAATATTGCTTACGAAAAATCGACTCATTAGTTGAAAATACTTAACAGGTGCGATTTACGGAGTTTCTGTGATCTTACAAACGATTCATATACGCAAATTGAAATGATTTTTAAAGTGAACATTTTTTCTTCTATTTTTTAATAAAAAATAATTTTTTAATAAAATCCAATAAAATGTTTCAGTTTAATATAAAATAGATAGATATGTTTTTCTTTTTGTGATTTTGTCTTTTTTTTTTATCAACGATTCCAGATCGATGATCTCTTAATGCCGTTAACAAAGCGAATATGTAACGTAAATCAACATCGAATTTCACGATTCGACGAGCGCACGGCACGACTCCAATCCAATGCATATGCATATATATGTACATATATATATATACTTGTGTGCAGTCGG